ATATGTGTATGTGTATGTGAATGTGTGTGTGAGTGTAGGTGTATGTGAGTATATGCGTGAGCGTATGTGTATGTGTGAGAGTATGTGTATGTGAGTGTATGTGTATGTGTATGTCTGAGTGTATGTGTATGTGAATATGTATGTGTAAGTGTATGTGTGAGAGTATGTGTATGTGAGTGTATGTGTATGTGCATGTGTGAGTATAGGTGTATGTGTGAGTATATGTGTATGTGAATGTGTATGTGTGAGTGTATGTGTATGTAAATGTGTATGTGTATGTGTATATATATGTGAGTGTATGTGTATGTGAATGTGTATGTGTGAGTGTAGGTGTATGTGAGTATATGCGTGAGCGTATGTGTATGTCTGAGAGTATGTGTATGTGTGAGAATATGTGTATATGAGTGTATGTGTATGTGCATGTGTGAGTGTATGTGTATGTGTATGTGTGAGTGTATGTGTATGTGTATGTGTGAGTGTATGTGTATGTGTATGTGTATGTGTGAGTGTATGTGTATGTGTATGCGTATGTGTGAGTGTATGTGTATGTGTGAGTGTATGTGTATGCGTGAGTGTATGTGTATGAGTGAGTGTATGTGCATGTGTATGTGCATGTGTGAGTGTATGTGTATGTGTATGTGTGAGTGTACATGTATGCGTGAGTGTATGTGTATGTGAGTGTATGTGTACGTGTATGTGTCTCGCTCTGAAAAGACTGTCAACGTGGGTTCAGGTACAGCTTTGCGGGCAAGAACAGGGAACAAAGAGGGAGGACAAAGTTGGGTGCCACTTGGGTGGCCCAAGCAGTCCCAGTGATCCTGTGTCAGCACAAAGGCCAGGAAGGTCTCCTGTTCCTAATAACTGGTGGTGTGGCGAGAGGGGGCCCTAGGGGGCTGGCCCCAGCCTCTGTGTCCGTGTTACACAGAGACGCTTTAGTTCACGGCCAGAAGCTTTCACGTCTGCCTCCCAGAAGCCCTGCGGACACAGGGCGTGGAAGCAGCGCTGGAGGCCTTACCGGCCGATCCTCAGCACGCCAGAGCTGCTCATTACTGATGACTGATTAGGGACTTAAACCGGTTTGAAATGGTTTAGTCAGAGCTGATGGAACAAAACTGGAACCAATCTAAAGTCAGAAAAATTGGGTTGTGCTAAATGATCATAGGAATGGGGAAAGGATGGGCTGATGCCTTGGAGTGGAGATTTGGAAGCTGTGTAGTGAGCCTGGTGGTGAGGTGGAGTGATTGGTAGGCCTGTGGAGAGTGACCCACTTCAAAGCAGGGCAGTTAGCCGCCCGCTTGCAGCTGCCACACCGGTTCCCAGTCTGCTCGGAATTCAACGGGCGAGATGTCCTTGCTGTGCAATGCATACTCAACCCTAGTTTTCTAAGCGAGAAATGAAGTTTCTAGCAGGGCTTCCACATGTCATTTTTCTGATTGCAGATATCATTCTAGTTCACCCAACCTGTAGAGTTTTGGGGTCTGGTCCAGTTTTGCTTCCTCACCGTGACTGAACAGGGAAAACCTGTTCGGAGCCCTGTGGCTGAGGGCCTGGTGCGGGCCAGCCCATGGCAACAGGGAACAGCTTGGTAGAGTTGTTCCTTTCCTTGCATCTGCTGTCAGATTTCCAAAGATGTCTTCAAACAGTTAGGAGAAGGGAAATCTCCCCCCCCCCCCCAAGCCACCCGCAGAATTCTTACCTTGCGAGAGTGAGGTATATGCACAGATTCCAAAATTTCCTCTGGCTTCAGGTCTGCACTTGCCAATCCAGCGAGAAAATGTTGGTTCAGAGGGATCTGCCGCACTCCTTCTGTTGAAGGAAGTGACATGTCTGCCTAGTCAAACAGGGAAGCACGAGCCTTCTGTGCTTTTCAATGTCAACAGTGGAGAAGGAGCTGCCATCCTTGCCGGCAGGGGTGCAGGGGTTTGCGTCTGTGTCAGATACCGGGCCCATTCCATCCCTGTCCCGGGAGGGAAGGCACAGGCTGTAACCCTAGGACATTTGCTCTTTTCTTAGCAGTGTAACGAGTGTGAGCCCTGGTCTCCACCCACCTCAAAGCCCGCCAGACCTGTGTGACTTTCCTTCTTTCAGACTGGTGACTGGCCAGTTAAATCCAATCCATTTAACGTGCAGAATCAAGGTAACTGCCCAGGCCTCCTCAGCCAATCAACCAATCAGCTAATCATCAACAACCCCAAGTCCCAAATGCACTCTGTAGAGTATGCACCCTCTGTTACAGAATGCAACTGCTCCATAGGCTTGTCTAGGCTGGAGTTTTCCTGGAGGGTCCCTGGTGGCATAGTAGTTATGGACTAGGCTACTAACCTCAAGGTCAGCAGTTTGAAACCACTGACCCAGGGAGAAAGATGAGGCTTTCTACTCCCATAAATAAATACAGTCTCAGGAACCCACAGGTTACTTCTATTCTGTCCTGTAGGGTCATTATGCGTCAAAATTGACTCATGGGAGTGAATTTGATTAGGGGGTTTGGTGTGCAAGCCAGCAAACACCTCAGGGAAGGTTAGGCTGTTTGGGAGACATTTCCCAGAATTCCATGTGGGGCAGGGTTTTGATTCTCTCCTTACAGCCCAGGGCTTGGGTCAGGGTCAGCACCCAGGATGCATGAGTGTAAGTGACTGGCTGCGTGAGGCGGGGGAGGGAGGGGTTCGTGAGCGGCTGTAGGTGAGAAAGAGGGAGAAGCAGAAGGGGCACTTGAGAATCCGAGGCCCTGTGGGGAGAGGCCCCCCAAACCTGGGGGAGGAAGAGGCAAGCACACAGGCTTGTCAGAAGGAGTGCACACCCCCTGCTGCCTCCACAAGTGGTTCCAGCCGTATGGTGGAGCAGCTCAGAGGTGCCGGCACGCTGTGTCCACACAGGGCCCGAGGCCGGTCTCCTCCCCAGAAGGTACCGGACACCCACTTCCTGCCTGAGTCTGCGTTCCCCACACTGAATGGAAAGCCAGGGTTCCGTGGTCCCTAAAACAAAAGCCTTAAGTTGTTGTTTCGGGTGTCCTGGGGAGGCTTACCTTTGGAGATCAGATTGAGCGTGGCATTGCCCACGGCCAGAATTGGATTGAGATCTGAGTAGTGATGCCTGCTTATAACATGGCCCCCTAGGGACTAAAGAGAAAATGTTACATCCTCGTCATTCTGCCCCTAGACTCCTACACCCCATAAGCACCTGCTTCTAGTTCTCCCAGTGGCTAGCGAATGGGGCTCAAGAAGTCTTGGATGGCTCAGTCCTTTCCTCCCTCACGGAGGGGACTCAGCTCAGAATGTCCAGGAGGCCCTTCCACCACCTCCTTGGGACAGGCAGAGGACTCTCTGATCACTAATAGTGACATAGCATGTGTATGTTCCCTGTTGTATTATCTAACTTCTTTACCCGTGTTTATCCAACCCTCACAGAAACCCAATGAGGTTGCTGCCATTACTTTACAGAGGAAGATACGGATGTACTGAGAGATGAGAACACTTGGCAAATTCTGCCATTTAGGTAGTGGCAGGACTGGGGTTTAAACCTAAGCAGTCAATTCTGAAAGGCACCCCCTCCTGGGAGGTTGCGGTGCTGGCTACAGACATGTCCTCCTGCCGTGGACACACAGGTCTCCGGCTTCATTTCGCTTGAGCTTCTGACGGTCTGAGTCACCAGGCTTAACAAGGGCGCTTGGTGTAGGGGAGCGGGCGTCCACCTGTTTGTCCGCTCCTTGGGAGGGCTCATTTGGATCTGATTGAATTTAGAGCTTCTCAGAACGTGGAGAGGAAATGACTGCTCATTCCGCTCAATACTCTTCTCCCCACAGAGTGGTGGATTGGACAGTGACCATGAGGTTCCTGTGGTCTGGGCTGTAACATCAGAGAAGACAGGGACACCTCCCCCTGCCCCCCCTCCCCACACACACACACACACTAGGGGCAGCTGGATTATTGAGTTCCTGTTTCCACTGCACCGAAACCTACCTCCCTGGACGCCACCCATCCATCCGTTGTATTCCTATTCTTTGTGATCTGTCCTTAGGAATCTTCAAACATCAGAAGGGGGTTCTCACATTCCCTCCCCTCCTCTAGCCTTTCCTCTTTTGATGTGGTTCCCAACCCTTTACACCTCCTCCACCCTCCCCGCCCCCCTCAATCTCCTTGACCTGCTCCAGGGAATTCAGTCAGGTTCTCAACAGGGCCGAGAACATTTTCAGTGCAGACCTGTTCTCTCCTTACCCTCCCTGTCTCAAGGATTTCTAATGTTTGCCTTGGGGTCTGTCGCGGCGGAGGGGCCTACGTAGCTTCAGAACACACCTCTCTTCTTTCTTCTGCAGTTGGAAACAACCACACCTCAAAGGGTGCCTCCCTGGTCCGAATTGTTTTCTTCAGCCCTGGCTAGACAATTCTGCAGTGAGTTCTCATCAGTTTTGGACAGATGTTTCCATTGAAAACACCTGTGAGTAAAGTAGAGACCCCTAGAGACTACAGCTTTTGATGAATGCAACCCAAGACTCATTTAGGTTCTTGGACAGTCTTACCAGGAAATCTGCAGAACTGGGGCCTTTTCTGCCTGTGTAACTTACTTACCCCCTGGATGGAACTGAACTTACAGGTCTCTTTTAACTATTTTATTAAACAATGCTGAGCAAAGAGTAAATATCTGTTCTGCCTGGTATTTCAATCTGCTGAGACCCAGCTGCCTACTGATTCTACCAATGCACCTTCCAATATGGCAGTAGGAATGGGCACTGTGTGCCCAGGGACCCCAGCCAGGGAACATACTGCCATATTCCGGATCTGCTGCCCGGCCAGACTTTTCAGATGTTTCAGCAGGGCTCGGTAGGTCTGCGTTTTCTCCTCTGGGAGCTCAGAAATGGTCTCAGCCAAGATGTCCCTCATCTGGGCCAGGCTGCAGCCAGCGCCTATGGTCAGTCCTAGAAAGCAAATGTTTTTATTGGTGACGTGGGAAGAGCAGTTCAACTGTAATCATAGATCCGGGCCCTCAGTGGCCAGCTAAGATTCAAACACAGCACAGACACCATACTTCCCGATCAATTAAATCAGGACCTGTGAGCCTCGGGGGTTAAAAAACGCTCTCCTGGTGAGACTCTTGTGCAGCCAGGGCCAGAACCCCCTGAAGTAGTCCATACTTTTCTTTAGACAAGTGACAAGACAGAATCCCAGGGAGAAGGCATGGTAGTAACTGGTAAGTGGCAGAGCCTATTAGAATGCCCCGCGACCCCCTCCTGATGGATGGATGAAGGTGAATTGATGCCAAGCTGTTCTGTGATCAGGTGTTAAAATAATGACAGTGGTCAACCCAGTGGCAGAGCTCACTCAGTGCCCTAGGCCATTGTCTAAAATCAGCACGGCCTTGACTGCCAAGTTTTGTGTTTTCACAGGTAGTGCCCGTCTTCAAAATCTTCAACAAGATGTTCCAGAGGGGCACCTGCTGATCTGAACAAATGCAGTGTATGCAAGGAGCTTCCCCAGACATCACCCCCTTAGTTGTTGGGAGTGGGGGGATGTGAGGGTCCATAGGGAAGGCCCTAGGAAGCTGGGGCAGTGGGGTTAGCCCCCAGGGGATGGGACAGTGCTGTTGGCTAATTGGTAAGAAAGTAGCCAACGATCATTGTGCTCGTGTGCTCTGGCAGGATGTCAACACTAGCTTTAGGGGTCCTCTCCATCAGGGATGCCCTGGGTCCAAATCAACTTCGAAGGGGAAGTTGCCACCATGACCAGCAGGAGAAGACGTTTCAGTTCGTCTTTTACTCTCTCAGAGGTTTGCAGAACGCAGCGCACGCGCACGCGGAGCGGTCAAGGTGACATCTCCAACAGGTTGTTTTCCCGCGACTCTGCTTTTAGCCCATTCCAGGCTGGGGTTGGAATTTTCTATGTTGATGACTCTTCCAGAAGATATTGTCCTCCCAGGTAGCCTTATTTTCCGGACACGCACTTGGTACAATGCTTCCCCACCTCCTGGCAGCCTACCCACACAGCACCTCCCACCCCTTCGATCATACACTGACGTGGGGAGCCACTCCCTGCTCCTTCTGATCTTTATTTTAAGCAAATCTTGCCTGAAAGAACTACGCTGTCCCTCGACTCTGGACTCCCCCACGTTGTTTCTGTTTCAACTTTTCATCTCAGGCACTGTGCACTGGGATCCGCTCCCCCTTCCAGGCCCATCAGCAAAGCTTTGTGAACGGCCTCTCAGTCCAGGTTCCACTATCGTGTGGCCTTTCATGGCTGCAAAAGTCCCCGTGCGCTCTTTGTCCATAGTAGCACTAGGAAGACCTGCCAGACAAGCCTCTCTGATTATAGGCCTTATAAGTAGTCAAGAAAACACCACACACACACACACACACACACACATTATTATTTTAAAAAAAACCAGTGGCTGGAGAGTCAATCCCAGCTCACAGGCCCGCCTGGGTGTCAGAGTAGACCTGTGCTCCACGGGGTTTCCAATGGCTGGTGCTTTCAGCAGGGCATCTCCCGCCTTTCTTCAGAGATATTTCTCGGTGAACCCCAGCCTCCCCGTTCCGGGAGCAGCAGGATGGCACCCGTTGTTGTTATTGTGAACATGTGCTTCATGTCAGAAGGGCCACACCGAGCAGCGCCGGGGTGTCTTCCTTGCCATAGCAGAAAGCAGCAGTTCGACGTCAGGACGGTGAAATGCCACCGACTGCCTTTGTCTTCTATAGAGCTCGGCTGGCCAGGGGCCACTAACCTACTCCCTCTCCGCCTCTGACTGTCGGCGGTTGCCCGTGAGGTGCGGAGGAGCTGGCCTGAGGGGTCAGAGACGTATTTGTCCCCGTCAAAGCTCAGTGAATGAGCAGCTAAAGGTGACAGGAAACGAAGGATGACTTGGAGGTGGCAATTCCTGAATGCCATTGAGTATGAGACGCAGTAGAACTACTCCATATTGTTTCTTTGTCCCATATGGGTTTTAGGGAAGAAGGCTGCCAGGCTGCTGGCTGCATTGGAACCTCTAACCTTTTGGTTAGCAGCTGAGTGCTTGACCATTCTATCACTGTGGGAAACTAACACCGAGGGAACTATGACCAGGACTATCTTCCCTAACTTATAACGAGGGAATCTGGAAAGCTAATATTCCACAGTAGGAAAGACACCACTTTGGTAAGTTAGAGATAAAGTCCAAGTACATTATCCTGCGTTAAATGTATTCCCACATATCTCCCCTCACAGCAATGCTGCCTTAAAGTGAGCACGTGGTTGATTCGATCTCCCTGTAGAAGCAGACATTTTTTGATGATCTCCTCCTGCTGGGCACCATCGCCCCTCCCCCCACTGCAGGTATTAGATTTCCTCACCTGTGAGCTCAGGGACCTTACTGTGATTACCACCCTCCTTGTGACATATGTAACTCCTGAATATGCATGTCTTATGGCTACCTATAAATGTCCCAAGACAGTAAAGACTCTCTCTCTTCCCCCACCTCCACGTGGACCACCAAGAGGGACTGAGGTGAGCATGTTACCATGACTCCTTTATCGTACCTTCCCTCCTATCTTCTATGACTTGACTATATATACTCTTTATATATTATGGCCCTCAATTGTGCCTATGGGCCCTGCGGTTGTTAGAGGCTGGTTTACTATCACACATCACCAGGGGGCAACTCCAAAATGATGTCAAATTCACTACCATGGAGTTGATTCTGACTCAGAGAGACCCTACAGGGCAGGGTAGGACTGCCCCTGCAGATTTCTGAGGCAGTAACTCTTTACAGGAGTAGAACGCCTGTCTTTCTCCTGAGGAGAGCCGGGTGGTTTCGAACAGCTGGCTTTGTGGTTATCAGCCTAACAACTGGCCACGATACCCCACGTAGCAGCTGTAGGTGGTTCATTAGACTCGGCTTCAGCCACAGAAGCCCTGGGGATGAGGTGATTTTATGTATTTGGCTGTGATCCACATGGTTGGCAGTTTGAAACCACCAGCAGCTCCTCAGGAGTAAGACTGGGCTTTCTCCTCCGGTAAACATGCTCAGAAACTCAGAGGGGGTCGATATGGGTCAGCATTGACTCAATGGCAGCGAGTTTGGTTTTTAGTCAACCGTGCAGCTAAGGAGCAAAAACTGGGAACAACATATTTGTAAAATAGTCTGAGAAGCATGTCATTAAAACGAAAGCCTCTTTCTGAGAATCAAACAGAGCTTTGCAACACATACTTTCCTCTCATTTATATCTTTCCAACATGCATCGAGCTGAGCGAGTACGTTGTGGTAGAACTGGGAGCTCACTGGGAGTCCGCGAGCAACAACCTAACCTGACCACCATCAGTGGGTGAGGAGTAAAGTAGTTGTGAGCATTGTGACACTCTCAGGCCATTTATTTTCCTGACTTACTTTAGAGGGGTACTGAATTCCTTCATTTTATTTTATTTATTCATTTTACAGAGCTCTTGACAGTCTGGGTTCCTGAAGGCCTGACCTGTCGCGGTGTGCCATGCTGCATGTTTCCACTCCCAGCGGTCCCCATCTCACCAAGGGTCAACTTTCCGTGAGAGGGACAGAACTGCCCCTGCATTTCCAGCTCACTCTGTAATGTGACCACAGATGGAAACATTCTTCCTGATACATTTATGCACTCTGAAAAATCATCTAGCATCTATGTTCTCATTTTTTGAGGATGATGTGTTAAAAACAAAGAAACAAGAGTCCAAGTATGTTAAAACTCGAATACTTTTTTTTTCTTTTAAAAATGTGAATCCTTAAGATGGATACAATGAAGGAGAGGGCTGCCACTTATCTGGCTTTTTTGTTTTGTTTTTAAGGAAGTACAGATGTCCAAGTCTGTTTTCAGCATCTGGTTTGGCTATTGTTCCATTAGTATTTCACTTTGTACTAAGAACCAAGCAGAGCACAGCTGGGTGGGGGAAACCCCACCGACTGCAGTCTGCCCACATTGAGTCACAGCACCCAGCCTGTATTCCAATGCAGTTACAAAGGCTCCAACTGTTAGATTCTTAAGAAGAAAAAAAGATTCTTTTGCTTTGACGACATGCTTCCCTCAGTCACTAGATTCACGGGCTAAGCCTGCAGTGGTTTTCTGGAGCACTTACTGTACTAAAGGTTTTAGGAAAACAAACACCAAGCTAGCCATGGAGGGCACGTGGATTGACATGCCAAATGGCACTAGCATTTAAGTTAAAATACAGTTGTTCTGGAAGTTTGGTGGGAGGTCCACCTGGCCGCAGGGTGTTCCTCCCCACACCAGTTGCTATGTACACTTGAGGACTTTAGGTCAAGTCGGAGATGGTGGGGGACTTTCCTGGAAGCCACCCCACGGTAGTCATGCATTAGCTTGAAGAGGGCTTGCAGTAACAGAGGAGCTCCTGGGTGTGTTAAACAGGGCTCCTTTCATGAAAAAGAGTTTTGGGTAGGGCATGTCATTAATATGCTAACCCAAAGGTTGGGAGTTCAGGTCCACCCAGAGACACCTGAGAAGAAAAGCCTGATGGGCTACTTCTGGGGCTGGGGGCCTGGGGGTAGTGGACCATGCTACGGAGCAGAGTTTTACACCGACGCACACAAGGTTGCCATGAGTTGGAGTGAATTTGACAGCAACTGTTTTTGTTCCATTTTTTCAACGTGCGTGTCCACACTAATTGGCTATGTATTTTGCAGGGAAAGTGCTCAGGGCTATCTGCTCTCTCAAGGGTGTGCTTTGATGCAGCTCTCTGCACACCGTGGGCTGTTAGCGGACTAGGGGTGCTTGCCCAGGGAGTATTGGAGTCAGACAGAACTTCTCTTCCAAATAGTTCTCCCTCCAAGGAATTGACCGTCCAAAGGGTGGACAGCACCTGTGCTCTCTCTTCAGTGTCCAGGTAAAGGTGACTCTGAGAATCGATCTTCTCTGGGTCACCAGGCACTTCTATGGACATGACTCCTGCACATGGTTGCAAGGTTTTGAGTGATATCGTCGGAAGGCCTCACGTTCCTTGCAAAGTAAGGATGGTGGGGATGTTATGTCGCATCCAAAAAACCGGGAAGGTGGAACACAGCCATGCAAGACAAATGTCAGAAGAGGCTCTGAATCGAAAAGCAAGTCTAAGCTCAGGGCAGGTATCATTTCATTACTAAGGAAATCAGGGGCTCACCATTACTTTTCTTTGATACCACGTACAGCTCGGGAATTCTGACAGGAGAGAGGAGAACTGGATGAAAATGCTCCTGAGATTTCGTGGCGGGCCCTGAAAAGTGAACATATTTTAGAGAGAATTAGGAAAGAGTCCCTTTTTTATTTTTTGGCAATGAAATTTGACTTATATTTTATTGTGTATTTGGTAAAAATCAACATAACAAATTAGGTTCCCATTGAACATTTCTGTATCTCTTGACATGACCTACATTTTTCACAATACACCAACATTCTCATGATTTCCATTCTGGTTGTTGTATTTCCATTAATCTAGCTCCCCTGGTCCCTACATCTTCTCATCTTTGTTTTAGGGTAAATGCTGACAGTTTTTGGTCTCATATAGATCTTTTTAAAAATAACAAAAGTACTCACAGGAAATATCATTTATTTTATTTGCCAATTAAAAAATTTTTCCTGAAAGGCGACCTTTGGGAGTAGTTTCAGCTCAGAGTTGAGAGGCTCTTTTGGGGAGATATGTCAGGGGTTCCTCTAAGCTGAATCTCGTCCAATAAGTCTGGACTTTTAAATAACTTTGATATTGTCCTACATATTCCTCTGACTCTACCAGGGTCCATCTATTGTGTCCCCTTTCAGTGATTGGGAGTGGTATCTGGCACCAGCTACGTCTGGTCTCAGGCTAGATGACGCTATGTTCCCATAGTCCTGTAGATGCGTGTCTTCTTTGAGTCTCTTGTTTCCTTCTTTCTCTCTTAAAAAAAATCATTTTATTAGGGGCTCATACAACTCTTATCACCATCCATACATATATCAATTGTGTAAAGCACATTTGTACATTCATTGCCCTCCTCATTCTCAAAACATTTGCTCTCCACTTAAGCCCTTGGCATCAGCTCCTCATTCCCCCCCCCCATGCCCCCTCCCTCATGAACCCTTGATAATTTATAAATTATTATTATTTTGTCATATCTTACACGGTACAAAGTCTCCCTTCACCCACTTTTCTGTTGTCCATCCCCCAGGGACGAAGTTATATGTAGATCCTTGTAATCAGTTACCCCTTTCCATCCCAACCTCCCTCCACCCTCCCAGTATCGCCACTCTCAGCACTGGTCCTGAAGGGATCATCTGTTCTGGATTCCCTGTGTTTCCAGTTCCTATCTGTATCAGTGTATATCCTCTGGTGTAGCCAGATTTGTAAGGTAGAATTGGGATCATGATCGTGGGTGGGTGGAGAGGAAGCATTTAGGAACTAGAGGAAAGTTGTATGTTTCATCGTTGCTACACTGCACACTGACTGGCTTGTTTCCTCCCCACAACCCTTCTGTAAGGAGATGTCCAGTTGCCTACAGATGGGTCTTGGGTCCCCAATCTGAACTCCCCCTCATTTACAATGATTTGATTTTTTGTTCTTTGATGCCTGATACCTGATCTCTTTGAAACCTCGTGATCGCACAGGCTGGTGTGCTTCTTCTATGTGGGCTTTGTTGCTTCTGAGCTAGATGGCCACTTGTTTACCTTCAAGCCTTTGGAGACCCCAGATGCTATCTCTTTTGATAGCCGGGTACCATCAGCTTTCTTCACCAAATTTGCTTATGCACCCATTTGTCTTTAGCGATCCTATTGGGAAGGTGAGCACACCCTTCTTTCTGTTTTACCTCATGAGTAGAGGACAATATTTGTATCATAGATGACTACTTGCAAGCCTTTAAGACCACAAACTAGACTATCGAATATAATATTTATAAACTATATTATGCCAATTGATTGAGTTAGCCCACTAGACCATAGTCTTACGCTTTCAAACTCAGAAAACCAATCTCATGAGGTGTTTGGTTGTCTAAGAAGACTCTTTAGCTGTGTCCTTTGAGAGCTTTATTACATACATGAACATATATGTATCATGCACATACATGAATATGCACATGCCTAAAGATGTATCTACACAGTCTTACCTATATACATATAGGTACTTATTTATACACAGGTACATATTTATACAGACATGCACACCTACCTACTTATGCAACTATATGTAGTTTCAAGATAGTATATGTTACAGTGTTTACCAGAATAGCCATTATTCTTATCCATTTCTCAGTGACAACGTTTACCATGGTCAAGTGGTGCGTTTGCAATAAGGTTTTTGGGATAGAAAATTTAAAACAAACAAACAAACAATAAATGTGTATAGACATGAAGGCAGTGGCTATGTATTCCCTATAAAGTAAATTTATAGTGCACGCTCCCCAATATTTGTATATGTACCCCTTCAAAAGCTCACTATATTTATATAAAGATAGAAAATAAAAAGGATGAGAGGCTATTGCACACAGGTGTGTAGAATTATTTGTAGTAGCCAAAATATAGAAAATCGATAGATTTTCATCCATGATAGAATGGATGAATAAGTTTTGCTATATTCATACAACATTGATAAATGCAACAATTTGAGTTATTCTCCCATCAAAAATGTTGAATGAATATGATTGAACTATGGAATGCTATGATATCTGTAAGAGCTCCCAATATTATGATAAAAAAAGAATGTTGAATGAACAAAGCAATCTGCCAAAGAATAATACCGTGTCAGTCTGTTTGTATAAGATCCAGCAGTACGCAGACAGAAACGATGTGTTGCTCACTGTTAACATGCCTATAAAACCACGGCAGAGACAGACTCACCGGAACGCAAGCTTGTGAATACCTTTGCGAGGAAAGGGGTTGGTGAAGGAGGAGGCATGGGGTCCTTCAAAGTTTTGCGTCTTAAACATAGTTAGAAATGATAACTGAGTATATGTTGTATTTTAAATATATCTGACATATATTTTACAGTAGATTCGATCTACTCAATACTTAACAGAGATATCGATAATGGTTGTACAACACAAAGAGTATAATCAATGCGCATGAATTACCGTATATATGTAGAAACGATTGAACTGGAGAATGTTTTGCTGTGCATATTTTTGCCAAAATCGGAGGGAAAATTACAGGAATAACAATGAGCACAAAGAAGAAGAAAATGTTCTAAAATCGATTCTGGGCAAGATGGTACAACTCTTCTTGATTTGACTGAACTATTGAATTGCATGATATGTGGACGGAGTGTCAATAAAACTGCTGAAAAATACTTAACAGAAACAAAATTAAAAAGGAGACAAATGATTGAAAAGAAAAACAAACCTAAACCATTCGTACCTCTCAGGCTTCCAGGCAAACTTGCCAGGGCATCTACACATCCCACAGTGACAGGATTCAACTAAGTTACCAAACGGTATGCTGCCATATGACCGTTTCAGTATAAAAAAATGATATATAGAAAGATAGTTTTTCTACAGTTAATACTCAAGTAAAAACAGTAAAAGGGGCAGACAAAACTAGATTATGTCAACAGAAAGAATTGGGCAGACGAACGTTAAAGAAGAATAAGGAAGGTAAATTTGTGAGCAAACCCTGATTACATGAGTGCCATTTGAACAACCGGTTGGCCGAACACCACAAGAAGCTAGGTCAAGGGCTCTGTCCTACCTGTGCGGACCGGCTGAATCCCACCCTGCATTCCATATTGGAGACCGCTGGCTTCTACATAAAGGGTTCGTAGATCTACAATGGAGGAAGGAGCAGGAAGCCCCGCTTGTCATTGGTGGTGGAAGGTGAACCCTTGGGATCACTTACCCACTGAGGTGTTGCCCAGGGCCAGAGGTGCTTCGGGATATTTAGCTTTCAGCTCCAGGAGGTCTTTGAAGCTCCCAGGGGAGATCCAGGTAACCCTTTCTCCGTGAAAAGTAAGAGTGCATTGTTCTGGGTTTGTTGCCATTCTCTAAAGGGAAGTGACAATATGTGGGCATGTATGCTACACTTTAATAAATCCTAAATTCCAGGAGTGACGATCTAACTAAGGAAATATGCACATTCACCAGTTAGTGTACCTGACATCTTTTTTGGGCGGAGGGGCAGGTAGACCCCAGAACCCTGAAACCTAGACTGTCCATAACCCAAGAAGACAGGTGTGCACACGTGCCCACCTATAACAATATAAGATGACATCTACATTGACCCTTCAGGATGGATTCATTTAACATAATTTAGTCTCATGCCTTTCAAAATCATAATTATATGAATGCTCCTGAAATCATATTTCTTGCCTGAACTTTCCCTCTGAATGCCAAAGTCATGTCTGAATGAGTACTTTGCAGCTTCCCCTAAGTGGGTCGTAGCTGTTGCTGTCTGTTAGATGTTGTTGAGTTGGGTCACAGGCATGCCTAATTTAACATGTTCCAAACAGAGCTCCTTATGTCCAAGTTCTCGTGCAAGCCTCTCACCCCCCACTCCCCTGCCCCAATCCTAAAGGGATACATCAAAGGGAAAACTACACTGCTTTTCGGGAGGTGGGGGGAGAGTATCCCCCTTCTCGGAAAATGGCCAGTCCACTTTCCTGTTGCAAAGACTCAAAGCCCCTTAGCTGGTCTTGTCCCAAGTCTCTCTCCCACAATCCTTATCTCACCCACCAGCTAATCTTGTTGGTTTCTTACCCAGAATACTGGGGGGCTTAACAAAGTTTATGGAAAAGTGGAATCGAAAGAAAATGAAATTTCCCAATGAACTATTTGAAGGCCCCTCGTATATCCAGAACCTCTGCATTTCTCATCTGCTCAACCTGACTCAGCCATCACGGGCCTACTGGGCTCAGTGCGCTTTTCCTGGCGCTTCTGCATGCCATTCTCAACACGGCCGCCAGATGGTGCCATGGCACTGCCGGAAAGAGCATCTATGGCCTCTGTTGGCACCCTTGCAGCTTCTCGCTGCGAATAAAGCCAAGCAGCAGGGGGCCTGGCCTGCTCTGCGCCTCCATTCCAGTCAGGCTGCCCTTCGCCGTTTCCAGGTGTGCTCCCACCCTTAGAACGCTGCACGCGTTGTTCCCACGGCCTGGGCTGCTCTTTCCCCGGAGAGCCTCGGGGCGGGTGCCTTCACGTCTCCAGGACTTCATTCCAATCCAGGACCTTTCTGGTTCTCTCTCCCCATCTCCCTTCCGTCTTCTTTACACGTCTCACTTGCTCACGCACCCTATCTTTTTATCTATTTCCTTGCTAATGGCTTGCCTCACCAAACTCTCTGAGGGCAAATCTTTTGGCCTGTCTCGGTCTCTGCTATATAAAGCGCCTTGGCACTGCAATGATGACGTGCTCAGCTATAAACCAAGAGGCTAGTGGTTCAAATCCATCAGCTTCTCCCCTGGAGAAAAGACCTAGAGAGCTGCTCCCATAAAGATTAAGCTCCCCTCCGTCTGCTCCCCCCCCAAAAAATCCATTACCAGCAGCCACCCAATAGGTCAGAGCAGAACTGCCCCCGAGGGGTTCCGCGGACGTTAACCTAACAAGGTGGCTTCATATGGAGCAACTATATCTGGTGCCCTCCCATCTTTTGGTCAGTGAGCAAGTGCCTCACCACTGTGCCACCTCCAGAAAATGCCCTCTCTTCATGTGGTCCCTGGGAGTCAACGTTGACCCCAGGTTACTTACCAACACCATATACTCAGTACTTAGAGCAGTGCTTTGCATGTTTGCTGAATGCACCCATATTTGTTGAATGAATGAATCAGCACATCGGAAACTCTTCAGAAATAGGTATTGTATAGAATGGGCCCATTGAGAAGAAACCCTGGTGGGAGGGAAGGGTGAGGAGCAGGGAGGGATCCTGAACTTGAGTGGCTGGGGAGATCAAGTCAGAAGTTCAGTGAAGCCTAGGGCAGTCAACAGGGTGTCCAGTTGGAGGGAAATGAAGAGTGAGGGTGAAGTCGTTTAAAAAGAGCCCCGCCAAGGCTTCAGGAAGTGTGTTTGGGGGTCAGCCAGCTCAGGTGAGGGGACAGCTTGATCAGCAGAAAGATGGAATTTATAATCAGTGATATTGAAGCAAGTACAGAAGTAGCCGGCATCTTACCATGAGTTCTGGGGGGAATATGAGCTCCTGAGTGGGGTCCACAGGCTGGAATGCCTCTTTCACAAACAATTCAGTGCAGAGCTTTGAAAAAGGAAGAAGAGGGCCCGTTAACCCCGCTCAACCGGAAGCATCATTGTGATTATCGACATGAATCAGACAAGGTGAACATCATAGAACTCTTCTCGTTGGGGATGGGGGAGGCGATAGTTTAAATCCATCCCGCCAAGATGATGCAGAACAACAAGGATTCTGTGAAATGCTGAGAGAACTATGCCAAGGAACACCCAGACGATCTAGCAAAACAGTGGTCAGAGGTGGACTAAGGTTGGAGATACTCTCGCTGTGACTCAACTCCTGGCTCCTCCCCTGCCAAAGCAGGGTTCAAAGTGCTGACCACCCACGAAGGTCTACAGTTAAAACAGGAATGGCCTTAAGCATCTAGGCTCAACACACATATATACACTCTCACACACACATATACATTTACACACACGGCACAACACACATGTATACACTCATGCACATATACATTCACACACACACATGGCACAACACACATATATACATTCACACACACGGCACACCACACATATGTACACTCTCACACACATAGACATTCACACACACACACACACACACACACACACCCCTTAGAAAACTTTTGCGGTAGAAATAGCACTAAAGCCTTTGCCAATTCAACAGTTTTGACAATGACCCAATGACCTTACACTCCGTATGCTACACCCACTTTGAACGTTAATAAAACGTCGTGGGTTTTGGCTGTAGCGAGTTGACTCCTAGCTCGCGAGAGCAGCCTCGGCTCAGCAAAATGAATGGCTTCCCGGTCCTTTGCCTTCCCCACTGGATGTGGGTTACACCAGTGAAATCCACAGCATCTTTCTGGTTGACCTTGGCGTGCTTCCATTCCAAGTGCCATTTACATGTGTTAATAATTCGTTTAGTCTTCACAGCAATGACAAAAGACAGTAAAATTATTATTGCCCTTTTACTGATTAGGAAACCCGAGCACACTGAGAAGTTGCTTACACTTGAATTTGGTCTGGATCAGATCGGTTTTAGGCGAGGAAGCGGCTTCCTCCCAAATCCCTGCAGAAGGGAGCACGGCTGGGAAAGAACTGTGGGAACTAGGGTGGAGTGGGGGTGATGAAGACCAGAGGGAGACGCCGCCGGGTCTCTCTCAGCTTGCGCTCTGGCCATTCCAAGGGAAAAAGCATTCAACTCTCTCAAGATTAGCTGGAAACGAGCACCTCTTTTGAAGGACCACTGTGATCACGCAGGGAAATGGGCTGACAAAAGTCTTCCCCGGTTTCCAAGAAGCGTTACAGGCCAGGATCTAGGTGATCAGTGTCCACATGGGTTGGAAAGAAGAGACAATGATGTCCTGGGGTGGTGATTCTTTATTCTCTTGCCTGAAGTGGGCGTGGTTTTTCTGTTGCTGCAGGCTTTAGGCCCGGGAAGGGAAATTCAGAACACGGGCCCTCTAGCACTAGTTTATCCAGCTCCCAATGAAGAGTGTTTGTTTTGTTTGCTTGTGCATGCACTGACAGTTGCAGATAGAAGCAACAAGCAGAGTTTCAACACTGGTCCAGGGCCAACCACCAGGAGACCATGAAGCAAGACTCCCAGGAAAAGGACAAGACAATGAAAGGGACTCACCCCACTTTTACTGCCAAGAGAGGAAGAATCGTTCTCTCCCTGATCCAAGCAGCATTTTCCGGTTCCTTTCTGCTGACAGCCATTCGGCTCCTGCGGTAGTGAGAGGGTCTATGGTTATGTACCTTTTTATGGGCAAATGGGTGGGTACCTTGAAAGGCTTGGCAATTCAAACCAAGTTTCAGCCTTAATCAAACCACTTCGGGTAGTTTCTATTGGGATTGAACATTGGCCAAGGCTAATAACAAAGTCTCTTCATGTACCTTATTTTTCTTTCTGAAGTTACACATATAGAATATATCATACACAAATGACACTCATATAATATATATATAAATATAGGAAGTAATAAATATAGGGTGTGTCCAAAAAACCAAGCTCACTGCCAGTGAACCAATTTCATATAGGAAATAGAGAATTATTAAAACAAACAAACAAACAAACAAACAAAAAAGCCCCCAAAACCAAAACCCAATGCTACCATTGCTCCATTCTACTGATAATATTTTGACATACTATAGATTTCGACTTATTCCATAAATATACTTTATAATATTTGCCTTTTTCATTATTTATTTGCCTATTTTCTGACTTATTTTCCTACTTGCTTGTCTAGGTCGTGGTCATTTCTGTACATCATCAAAACCAATTTAAAACCAAACTCACTGCCATCGAGCTGATTCTTACTCATTGCGACCCTCTATGACAGTGGGTTTCTAAGACTGTGATTCTTTATGGGACCAGAAGCCTCCTCCTCCTCCCACCGAGCAGAGCAGCTGGTGGCACGCAGTGCTGACCTTGTGCTTAGCAGCCCGATACACAATCACTATGCCACCCAGGGCTCCTGCGCCATCAAAGGGCCTTCAGAATTCAGGGGTCCTCAAACTTTTTAAACAGGGGGCCAGTTCACTGTCCCTCAGACCTGTTGGAGGGCAGGACTATAGTTTAAAAAAAAACTATGAACAAATTCCTATGCACACTGCACATATCTTATTTTGAAGTAAAAAAACAAACGGGGCAAAAACACCCGGCGGGCCGGATAAATGTCCTCTGCGGGCCGCATGTGGCCCGCGAGCCGTAGCTTGAGGACCCCTGGTAGATATTCTACTTCCTGGCTAGTCCATAATGTGCCCGTAAGGTTTACTATTGATGTATATTTCCTCCCTAGATTCTATAATTAAAAACAACATTGTAATAAACATTTCTGTTTATACAGCTCTGTGTACATGTTCCTCCCCCGCCGCCCCTTAATTTAGTTCCTAGTGGTAGAATTAATTGACAAAATGTGCTTCAGGGAGATGACAATTCATGCCCTTACTAACATATGTAAGATTTAGCAACACTGAGTATCATTCATATAAAACAAACAAAAAAACCTACAACCAGTTGCCGTTGAGTCGATTCCAACCTCATGTAAGGGCTTTTTGACAAGCGAAAGATAGCAACAGCATGGTAATGACCTCGCCCAGACATTGTGCTCTGCCGTTGACTGGGGTTGAGTAGACCAGCACCCAGGGATTGTAAAGTAGCTTTCCATTGCCTGCCTTTTCATTCCTTATTTCCTCCAAATTTGCCTCTTATAGTTTCTTCCTCAAATGCAGCTCTTCTAAGTAACTCAAGATAATTTCCATCAGGGATGCAGTTCCCTGCCATCTTCCTAACTCTGTCCAAGAAGCATAGACAGCAGGGCCAGGCAAGCAGCGCCTTTCCTCTTATGCAAAGTTCTGAGAGCTTCCACGATTGGCTGGGAGCCAGCAATATAATGGTAAGGATAACTCAAACTCATTGACATCGAGTCGATGCTGTGTTTCTAAGACTGAACTCGTTATCCGAGGAGGAAAGCCTGTTTTTCTCCCAATGTCAAGGGTAGTAGATGTGTAAACCTGGGGCATTTCCTCTGAGCTGGGTTGCTTTCACCCATCAATGTTCCGTGAGACACGTCAGCTTCAGGGTAGGGTCTCTGACTGCATTGTTGCCTTTATTCCCAGAGTCTCCCTGGAAAGGCAGATAGTACCCACAAACAGGAGGGGCATTTCCTTTAAATTTCTTTTTTTTTTTCTCATAAGTGCTTCCTCCCTACTCCCTGCCCCCCCACCTCAGGGTGTCCAGTTGGAGGGAAATGAAGAGTCAGATTACACAGTAAGAAAGGTACGCAAGACTTTACTTGTGTTGTCTTACCCCTCCGCAGTGAGCAATCTCACCTTTTTTCACATCAGAGATTCTACTTCTAGGTATGGCTGGTATCTATTTCTTTTCCAAGCCCACAGCACCTTCCTGCAGAATTAAAGCCTCTTCTCAACTTTGTAATCGGTGGGAACCCAGAACCTGGATGAAAACGTAAGTGGTCTAATCGCTCCACTCACGACCACAGGGCTTGGAAGACCAGTGCTTGTGTTTGAGGGAACGCCTCCATAGTTGCCAGGTTATAGTTATGCGTAGAATCCACATTCTCCAGCTAGAAGAGCTCTCTCCACAACTCCCTCCATTAAGGTGCTGCTGTCAATGTCTCATGCAGCAGGCACCTGGCTCCTCGCTACTCAGCTGAAAGATGCCCATGTTTAAAGGCAGCCAGGCTCCCTCTGTCCCTCCCCCTCTAGGAGCCAATGACCCCTTTTGTCTCCTAGCTGCCCAATACTCATTATCATGAAGTTTCTCCTAAAGAACTCGGGATATATCCCAGCTTCACACTTTGCCCATTCTATTGAGTATGTGCCTGATGAAGGCTTGTACACCTCACTACTGTATAAACTCACTATTAAATAAACTCGCTCTTATTCCCACATCAGGGGCGAGTCCTTGGGTCCTGCTGCCTTTTCTATAGTCCTTGATTGCACACGCCGCTCCTAAGGACCCATTCAACTGTGGGGCTGGATCCCACAGTATTCCCTACACGGAAGAGTAAATAAGCATAAGCAGGCCCGTGCGTGCTTTGTTTATTGGCTAATCTGTTCCCGGGCAAGAGCAAATGGACTTGCTCTTCTTACTCTGGTCCGATTCTACCCAGCAGGGGAGTTCAAAGACTGTGTGAGCACCCCAGACTGATCGTCCAAACATAGTCAACTCCTCCCACAAAGAATGACTCCATGGCCACCCCTTGGTTGGGGTACAAACGCTGACTCTGATGTTCTAGCCAGGAAGATGGCTTGTGTAGGCCCTGGAAGTGGGGAATTCTGAGATTCTGTGATTCTAGAGCTGTGGTTCTCAACTTTCCTAATGCCGTGACCCTTTAATACAGTTCCTCATGTTGTGGCGACCCCCAACCATCGGAAATATGTTTTTCGATGGTCTTAGGCGACCCCTGGGAAAGGGTCATTCGACCCTCAAAGGGGTTGCGACCCACAAGTTGAGAACCGCTGCTCAAGAGTATGGTTATGAGAGGTGAAGACTCCAGGTAGGCAAGTCCAGGAGCTCCTGGGACTATTTGGAGGAGTGCCAGAGAGGGGCCCTCTTGAAGTATGGGCTCTACCTTGCTTGTCTCTTAGGGTATGGTGCTTGTATCTCATCCATCTTGCCTTCATCCATCCTTTCCTCAGCAGAGGATAATCAGAAATACCTCTCTGTTCCTGGCCTCCCTGTCAGATACTAGGCATAACATCAACAGCATTCTCAACATCAGCAGTGAGCAACTTTTGCTTGAGTTCTTACTAAGTGCCAAACACAACTTTGCTATGTGCTTTATCTGTGCTCTCTCATGTGATCTTCGCAACAACCCAGTGAGGCAATTTGGGGGTGAATTTTGGAGTCTACTCTGCATATTCAGATTTTTATTGGCTCACCCCTTTCCAGCAAGCTGGGATTCTTGGTACTAACCTTGCCTCACCAAACTCAGACTCCATCCCCTTGTCTACTATCTGGAGAATATGTGAATGGCCAGATGGGTCAGAAGACTTTTCTTTGTGATTTTGATTTGGCAACATCCCCTTCTCGTCACCTCTCTTCAGCAATCAGCTGAAACTTCCAGAAGGTAGTTGGAGTTAATGCTCATGGTTTCCCGTACGTCCTTCTAAGATTTTCTGAAAGAATCAATCCCTGGGCTTTCAGTGTTGACTAGCTATGACTGTCCTGTTTGCACGCTCTGCAGAGTCTACACAGTCGTCCCCTACTCACCGTGCAGAAGGTTCTTCCACTTTCTAGGATCGGCCGATATCCAGTACAGCGACATAGGTTGCCTAACCAAAGAAGGACAGCAATCAGCAGGCTTTGTTTTTGCTGGTTTATGCTGAAAGCTGAACAGACTCAACGTTTCCTTTTGACAAGAGTTTTAATATCTGCTAAGCTCTTCAGTCATTTCCCCCCTTCCCATCACCTCAATTCTAGTTTCAGTCTCTGTCCTTGAGGAAAAGACACTCTAGGCAGTGAGATGACTTTCATCCATTAATTTATACATTCATGCAACCAGTATTTATTGACAACTATATCTCGGACGCCACTGAAGATGCTGGGGACCCTCAAACACAGACAATATCGGTAATGTCTAAGGCTGCAATGTAGCCCCGGGTGGTGTGAACGGTGAACACATACATGCTAAGCAAAAGGGATGAGATTTGAGTTTACTCGGATCCTCCTTGGAGGGAAGGAAGGCTGGAGATTGATTTCTGAAAAATCAGACATTGATCGAATAAAAGGAGTCCTCTGAGAAGCAGAAATAGGGATCTCCCTGCCATCGAGGACGAAGAGCCAGGACTGGAGTGTATCCTTTAGGACCCCGAGATCCCTTCATGCCGAACCTCTTCAGTCCAGGAGACAGCGCTGCTGCACTAGAGGAACGGCACAGGCTTGGCGTCAGCAGCACTGACAGTGCTGGACAGTGGATGGACTTTTATGGCTCATGCTAAGAAAAGGTTAAAGGCCTTATAGCAGGAAGCTCACTTGTGGAGTGGGGAGTTGGCTTGCTGACCCACAGAGCTAGAGAACTCTTGGGTAGAGGCATATGGTGGGGTGGCCTGCATTTTGTGCATTTAATGGCAGCATTACAAGAGCTTTGTAACATTGCCTGAACTGGGCAGAGACAAAGGAGTTTCATGACTGACAAGCTATAAGACCAGACAGCGGTGTGGTTGTGGGCATGGCTGAGATGAGGCTATCTTGCCTGAAGAACTGTATCATAAGTATTTCTGATCCTGAATTGTAACCTGCTAACTTTCCTAATAAACTCCATAATTGGTGTGTGTGTGTGTGTGTGTGTGTGTGTGTGTGTGAGAGAGAGAGAGAGAGAACACCTATGGAGCATAGTTCTATTCTGACACATATAGGTTACTGTTAGTCATACTCAATAGCAACTAGTTCTTAAGTATACCATGGATGATTTATCAACAGTGCTTCTCAGTGGCTTTTAGGTCACTGTATCAAACTTCCCAGGAAGGGAGGTCTATTTATTAAAAATGCAGCTCTCTCATCCTACTCAATCTCACTGAATTCTAACACCTGAGGTGAGTGCTCGAACCTATGTTTCACAGAGCTTCAGGTAAGTCTTTGTTAGGGTTTGAGAACCATGACTTCTAAAGAGGAAGGCTAGTCAAGGATCAGTATCGAATAGAGCTTACCTGCCAAGGCTTCTCAGAGGAAGACGGAAGGCTGAGTAATAAATGGCTGGTGGACAGGAGGGGAGGGCGATATTGGCCTACAGAATAGTACGAGCAGAAGTGCAGACCTGAGAACATGCCCAGGAGTTGGCGAGGAGATGGCAGGCAGGGAGCCCCACAGAGTGAAGGGCAAGATGCGTGGGTTAGTGGGGTCAGTTGTGGGGCTTCTCCGAATGCCTGGTTAAGGAGGTTAGATTAGGCCATGCTCTACGGACAAGGGGCCATCAAAAACCTCAAATGGGGGAAGCTCTAGGGAAGCTGGGGTCTTTTAGGAAGTTCATCTGGTTTTATGTCCTGGAGCAAAGAGGGAGTAAAGGGTCTGGAAGAACCAGAAAGTCTGTGTTCACCCATCAGTACTCAGTCCCAGAAACCAAACCAAACCTGCTGCTGTTGAGTTGACTGATGTCCACTCACAGAGGTTAAGTGCTTGGCTGCTAACTGAAAGGTTGGCGGTTTGAACCCACTCGCTACTCCACAGGGGGAAAATGTAGCAGTCTGCTTCTATAAAGATTGACAGCTTTGAACACCATATGGTTTTCTAGATGGTTCTATTCTGTCTTAGAAGGTCACTATGAGTATGAGTCAGCTAGGAATTTTTGCACATAATGAATGACTTATTTAGGGATTATTGGCATGTGAAAATGTTAATTGGTACTACAAGAGGGATAGGTGATGATCTCTCTTTTCGTAACTTAAACCTATTACAAAATTTAAAGAATCCTCTTGTTTTTGAAGGGGAAAGCCAAGCAAGTTACTGGATAGAGACGTGGGAGCCAAGGTGGTGGTGTGTTCCATACGTAGTGTTGTTAGTCTTGTGGAGGCTGTTCTAAGCATGCGCTGTGACAAACGTGTGGCATCATGTGAGTGCAGCTTGGCATTCTTCTCTGCTCCTGGGTGAACTGTGGCAACTTCACAAACAGTGGAAGGGAGATGCTAGCGGGTTTGGGTAGGATGTTGAAAGTGGGGTGGAGCAGCCTTTAGCATATTTTGTTTCTGAACTTGGACAGGTGGTGGGTTTTCTTCATCTCAGACTTACCCCCGAGGGCTTCCATGAGTTGCTCCTCTGAAGGATCCAAGTGGTTCCTTAGAAGAGTGTACATGGACATAACCATTCCAGGGGTACAGAATCCGCACTGGGTGCCGTGGCTCTTGGCAATCCTCTCCTGGAAGAAAACATGTATGGTCACAGGTCTTACCTTCCTGCTGCCACCAATTCCCAATGAGAGTCATTGCTTAGTGATGGTGGCACTCACTCCCTGACTAAATGTACCCATCCCTTGATGAGAGTCGGCCGTCTTCCTCTTGCTTAGATTGGTTTGCAGCAGGTGACTTAGAAGTCATATTCCATCATTAGAAGGACTCCTGAAGGTCAAATGCCCAAACCCTTCTACCTGGGGATTAACAGAGTACCAATCTCAGACAGGATGAATTCTTCAGAAATCATTAATTATAAAGAGAGTATGGATGTGGAGAAGAATAAATAAGTCTATCTATGGAGAAGTACAGCTAAAATGTTCTTTAATATTGGGGATGGTGAGACACCATCTCACGTACTTTGGACATGTTATCAGGGAAGACCAGTGCCTGAAGAAGGGCATCATGTCTGGTATGGCAGTTATGTAATCTGTTGTTAATTTGAGAGGATTAAGAGTGAAGGGGTGAAGTTTAGCCTGTCAATCAGGTCATGCTTGATGACCTCATTTAGAGGTGCTAAGGAGATAAGTTGCTCATTGGAGGCGGGACACACGCTTACTCTCTGGGAGACATTGCAGCTGACAAGACACCTGGAGCTACACTAGTGCCTTGAGCTGGAGGAGCCATGTGGAGACCCCTGCCAGCACTGAGATGCTTTCAAATGCCACTGGATCCACAAGACTTCCCACCCACCGGCCTGTGATTTTTCTGCATTTGGTGTTATTGCATGTGTTTTGTGAGTCTGAAGAGGACTTTATAGATTGGTATTGGACATATGGGCTAATATTGGACTTATGGACTTGATCTGGACTGGATTGAGATGTTTTCTCAATATTCAATTGCTCTTGTATACAAAGGTCTTTCTTATACACATATGCGTGTCTATAAATTTTGTTTCTCTAGCCTATCTGGAATAACACATCTGGTAAAGTAGAGAGGTTATGAAAAAGAGGAAGACCCTCAATGAGATGGATTGACACAGTGGCTCCAACAGTGAGCACAACTATAATAACAACCGGCACAGGACCAGGCAGCATCTCTTGTACGTTGACTCGCTATGAGCCAGAGCCTACTTAATGGCACCTAACAACAACAACCTAAGCTCTGAAAGCATTTTTATCGAACAGCTCCTATCTCGAGCAGCTTAGGCCACATTCTTGATTAGCTTAGGGATTACCTCCTGTTGATCTCCCTTGATTCTTTAAATTCTTCTGTGTTGGCTCAAAGGGGACTCTACTTGCCAAGGTTCATGACCTCGATCTTTGAGACTTAGAATGTGGTTCATGAGCTAGCAGTATTGTTTCTACCTGGGAGCTTATAGAAAACACAGAACCCCTGACACAGAATCTGCATTTGAAACAAGCTTCCACTACAGTTTGAGCAGCCCTGATGTAGAGATCAGAATGCAAGGCACTATAGGCCTAGAATTTAGGTTTATCAACCTGCCTTGTGAACATCCTCTTTGACTTTCTGCCCTCTAGACTGCTGAGTTAAGATCCTCTGGGCTGCTACTGCTTAGAACGACTTGCAATATTGGTCTTTCTTGTCCTGCGACTCCCCAGCCTGCGGGGTGTGACGGGGGATTGACGCACTGTCTGTCAATGCAGTCTCTGAGAAGCAGACTCTGCCTCTGGCTTCCGGTGGGGATTTCAAGAAATGATAGTTCTGCTACAGCTAGTTTTGTTTAGATTCCGCTCACGGTTCACCCCACCCACAATTTTGATTTTATTCTCCCAAACCCCATGTCCTGGAGGATAATGCTGAATTTTATTCTGTTGGCCTGGGAGAGGATTTATTCTACGTGTAATATATTCTGTATAATATTTATTCTGAACTATGGTTTGAAAGGCATCAATTAATATTTTGATAATTCTGTTATCATTCAAGTAGAGAAAGTAAGAAACAAAGATGCTTATCAAATACAATTTGGACATACATGACATAAACACACTATCAAGCACAACAGAAACCACCCACACAGCCGAAGACGAAGCAGATGACTGGGACCTCTTAAAAATAAGACACGTATGTGCATCAAGTGACTTCATCAAAAGAGTGACAAGAGAACACACAAAGTGGGGGGCAAATGTTGGCAACGCATCCAGCAAAGGACTAAATTCTAAAATCTATAGAAAATTTCAACACCTCTACAAGAAAAACACAAATAATACAATTTTTAAGATGGGCAGGAGACATGGAGAGACAGTTCACCAAAGAATACATCCAGGTATTCTTCAGTAAACATGAAGAAATGCTTGTGATGACGAACACGTGAGAGGTACAAATAAAAACAACAATGAGATACCACCGCAAGCACTGGAAAGCAATATAGCATTTCCTCAAATAATTGGAAATAGAAATCCTGTATGATCCAGCCATCCCTTTACTTGGTATATCCCTTAAAGAAATGAACATTGCATGAGCAGATATGTGCACATGCATGTTCATCGCAGCACTATTCACAATAGCAAGGAACTGGAACAACCTAAATGTCCATTGGAGGAATGGATTGATACACGTTGAAATAGGTTGCATCCTTAAAGAACTATGATGACACTGGAGACTCAGGGTCGGGACTGCCCCGGACTGACCCCGTGACACCGAGGCAAACCACTAAAGGCATGCGACAGAGCAACCGTGGGAGCAGAGCAGGGAGCTCCAGAGGGAGTACAAAGGACAGACTCTGGGACCAGAGCATGGTACCCCATCGGACTTGACTGAAGGACGTGCCTAGAGATAAAAAATCAGACCTTGATCTATTTTCAGGTTTTTATTTTTTAAAAAACATTTTTTTCTTTTAATTAATTTATTCTTCTATGGGTAAT